CCCCCCTTAAAATAGGGAATGCTGATTAAAGATGTGACTCCCGCAACCCTTAATTATCCTACACCAGAGCCAGCAAGTGGCTTCAGTTCAAAACTCATATTGTTGCATAGAAATATACTCTTTTTGGTTTTCTCCAGCTTTTTTGGAAGCAGCATGTCAACAGTCTTGTCTAATGGTGTATATTAATTAGAGTAATTGCATACTTTTAACAGTCTGTAATTGGGCTTTTGTTGATATTCTACATCATGCTATTATGAACAGTTACATAATACAAAAAACAAACAGCTTTTTAGAAGTTCCATTGATATGTAATCCATTTTAAGCAACAGTCAGCAGAATTGTCAGTAAAAATGGGATTTATAACCCAAAGTCCAACTCTTAATTTTTTATGGTGTCATATTGCTTATCATGTTTTGCCCTTCAGTAGACAATGTGCTTTCTTAAACAATTAAGAAGCCTCTATAACGGGAGAGATGACAACAGAAGAGCTGCTAATGCTGACAATAGTGTCAGTGTCATGTCGTCTCCATTTCTGGGGGCTTTCCCATAAAAAAATAAAAAAAACAGCTACGGGGTCATTAAAAGCTGTGCTTTGCAAATGGCAAAGTGGCATGTGCAGCGATAATTTTAATTTGGAGCAATCAATGTTAATGGTGTAGGAACTAAAGTAGTATGAGCTTCCAACATGTTTTCCCTGTGCTCAACATGTGATATCAAAGATCACATTGTTGAGCACAGTTTTTAGGATCTTCAAAGTAGCACCTTCTATTGTCAGTGTTTACAGAAACCACTTTCCAATACAAACTATTCATCCTATAAATAACTTACTGGTACATAATACACAAAACTGTGCTATCTGCCCCAGTCATAACCCTGTTGAGTGCTGCCATCTTACACAGTTTATAAAAGCCAGGCTGTCAATCAAATACACCTCCACCCTTCCTGTCAAATGCACACATCACTGCTTTCTGCCTACATCGGTGTCTAGGGGTTATTGTTAGGGTCTAGGGGTTAAGTAACTACTGAATTTGGACCAAAAGTCAACATTTACATAGCAATAATCAGTGCTTCCTCTACTTAAACTGCATAATTGTACCTGTCAAACAACTAAGCCCTGCAGATAGCAGCACATTGACAACTGGCTCCTGATACAGAACTGAACTGGCTGTCAGTATGACAAACAAATCTCCACAGGAGTGCGGACAGCAGCTCCTGATACGCAGATACACTGGGAACCACACTGACAACCTAGCACTGCAGATTACAAAAGCCACAAACTCTGGCAAAAGTTATTTCCAAAACAAAAATTCCTGGTTGCAAAAGGTTTAATAGATGTCAGCCAAGATCAACTTCTCCTTCTCAAAGCTTAGAATGGTTGACAGGCTCACTTTAAATGATCAGTTTTCCTTTCAATTATGAAGTGAAATTGAGTTGAAGTTGAAAAGCTTCGACTAGGATATTCATGTTTAGTAGTATTAATCACCTCCTGTGAGATCACTGTCCTCTTTGGCTACAAACATTAGTAATAGGCACAGGTTTTACAGCAGGGTTCAAAAAAAATCATTATCCCCATTTTTATCAATAGAAAATATACAAACATCCTTTAAAGAGTGCTATAACCAGGCTTCATTTATTAATGGTCTCCTTATAAACATTTTGTTCAAAATGTAATTACTAACAACACAATTGCAACAAGATTGATAACATCACGCACAAACCTCAAAGAGCGTGTTAGGAATTCAGACGATTTACAGTTTGATATATAAATTAAAGTAAATTGTTGACTCATTAAATATTATGTAACAAATCCATATACACCATAAGGCCCCATGGTCTTCAACATTAACTAGATAAACATAGTCTAAATCAATAAAACAGGTGATGAAGAGTCACTATTAATCAAACCTATTTGATTATATACAGTCCCAGAACACAGTAGGGTAAACAAGAAATCAAATTGGAGGAGAAGAAAAAAAAAAAAAAGGCAAACATTTCCTCTTTAGGACCTAAAGGTTGCAAGTAGCCATATTGCTTAGTTTGTGGCAATCTCTGTGCTGTGTAATCCTGGAATGTTGCATTAAAGGGAAAATCTGAAGTATTTTGATCAAATGACTGTCTGGGGGATAAAGGTAAGAATTGGAGCAATTAAAGAAGATTTGCCCTTAGCAACCAGATCTCATGTATCATTTTACTAGTGTTTGTATGAAAATGAAAATTAATGCTGGTTTCTGGTCATCCCTTCTAATACTCCAGGAGTCACTATTAGAGCATGAACATCTGAGATTTTTAACAATGGTCATATTAATAATATTGAAAGGCATATTAAAATACGAACTCTTTTATTGACTAGAAGATCCACTTGCAATACATGTAATTGCCTAAAAAGAAAAAAATGCAGTGCAAATAAATGATTTTCTTTGGAAGGTTGTCTTTCCCTCTGTAATTAAAAATCTATTCTATTCTAAAAAAAAAAAAAAAAAAAAAAAAAATCATTTTAGGGATTCTTTATAAACAATACACACTGACCAGTGAAAAATATTAGAGTGATTATATGACAGTGGTATATTGTACGGTTTGGTTAGTAAGTTGTGTAATTTTTTTTTTTTGTGTCATTTAATTATAGAACTTTAAATATTCATGAATTCCGCCATTACTGTGGCAAAAATCAGCATTATGTTAGCTTATACAAAAAATATATAAAAATATGCTGCTTTACAACGGAAAAACTCTAACAAAAAACAAACATTCACAGTAGTCATTATATCCAAACAATTTAGTTATTCTGGTAATGCTGGCAATAAGCCTAAAAGTATAGGACTGAAAATGGAAAAAAATATTTGAGGCAGAGACCTTTTGTACGATAATCGCATAGTGCAAAGGTGTTCGGTCTGTGGTCCTCAGAACAGCTGAAGCCAATCACGTCAAGTTAAAAAGGATTATACATTTTTAAAAGGAACCTGGAAGGATACAGATATAGGCAGTGCTGATGCTGGGGTGGGGGTCAGAGGTCACCTGAAGTCTGACAATTGCCTGCCTGTCAGCTGCCTGTTTTACAAATAGTAATTGTCCCTGACATTTAGTGCTAGGCTCAGACAAAAGGAAGTGCAAATAATATTTTATGCTTCGTTTAAAAAGGAAAAAAAAAAAAAAACTTGGGGCATCACTACATGGGCATATTTTTGTGAGTGCTGTGACATGGCTGTAGAGAAGCTAACACATTTTGTAATTTGTTGACTTTTTTTTAGCCATTGGCAATGGTTGTAATTTCCCATGTGTCTGGGGCTTCTGGGTAAGAGGTTTTAACAATAATCATATAGAACACTGAATTGAATGTTTTTTGACTAGAACATCCACTCTTTTCCAAAGTGTTAGAAAATTTCTCTGACTGATTTCTAATACTTCAATGAACACATGGCAATTGCTTCTTTCTGCAAATTACACGCCAAAGGCAGGTGAATCGGGCAGGAACCTTCAATAGAAAACAGTCAGTGTTGTGGTCCTGACAAGACAGCCAGATGCCTCACCACCAGCTAACCTCTGTACAAGTTTTCCCACATAAGGCAGTCGGACGAACTTCATGAAAGCCGTCAATCAAAACCTCTGATATGAAAAGGGTTTGGAACTGCTGGTACTCTGAGTTTTTTTAAAGAAAAAGAAGGAATGTGAACCATCAAACGCAAAGGTCTATTGGATAAAAGATTAGATGTTTCTGTCAATCCTATACCATTTACATGAGAGCAAACAATCTCCATATTCACGGATTTCATTTTTTTTTTTCTTTGCAGGATATATGCAAAGAAGCTTGTACATGTTAGGCATATGTTAAAACATTTTGTAGATTGGACTGTTTTCTAATAATTTTTAAAACTTACCATCAATGGTTAATTTCGGAGAAAAGTACAAAAAAAATGTATACCCCCATGATACAGTTAGGATTTGTTACAGTGCTTGGGCAAGCTAAAGTATGTGACAATGTGACAAAAAGAGATGACAGCAATACTACACATTTTACAGCGAAGTAATCTTTCTTTTGTGGCATAGGTCCTCTCGTTCTAAGTGAATTAAGAACTTGCTAGGAAAATGTGTGAAACACAAAAAAAAAATTTATTTATACAGTATATATTTTTTTTAAATTATAAATAAACATACCAGTTGTAACTAAAATGAGAAAAAATAAATGTTGTTGGAGTTAAAATAAAACATGCTGCATGTCCGCAGAGGCTCTACTATGAACAGAAGTCATTAAAGAACCGGAACGTCATTAAGAAAACAAAAACATAGACCTTTGCAAATTTTCTGACACTCTCTAAAAGGTAGGGAATGTATTTTCTAATCTTATATTTGGTGCAAAACAAAAGGAAAAAAGGTTCTGTGATCTTGATATTTATATTTAAGGCTGAATAAAAGTGCTTCTCAATACCACTAAGGTATTATATTTCCTTTACAAGTAGTACAAGTCAAGGGAAAAAAAAAAAAAAACAACTTTGCTCTTGGAATTTTTTTTTTTAAATATACTTGTTATTACCCTGAGGAAGATGTAGTAAAAAATGTGAAAAACAAATCTGATTTTGGTTAATTGATATATTTAGTAATCCCGGGTGCAATAACTGTGAGCCCACTACCCTAAACTAAAATACGGAAATGATAAAAACATATGTTTGTAGTTGGAACCGCAATCTGCAATGCCTTGTAAGAACAAGCCTGAGAATGCAGATAAGGGTCGTGGGTCTTAAAAGTATAGCCATGTGGAATTGTGAGATATGATTCAACAGTACACTTTTGGTGATTTTCTGTGTTTTGCTGCAGACATTTTTACAAAAAGAAAATTAACTGCGTATAGAAATCAGCTAATATAACCACAGAGTCATCACATAATGTAGGGAACAAAAGAACAACAAAACATACATTTCAGAAACCTTGTAATATCACAATGGCAGGGTAGAACCAAGAGATCTCAAGCAGGCTAACAACAATTATAAAACAATCCTTGAAAAAATAGTTTAGCCAAAAAGGTCTTTTAAATCATTGCTAGCTGAACTGCTATTTTTCATTGTGGTTGCTGGCTGCGTAAAGCCTTGAGGATTAAAAAATGGGTTAGATTGGACGCCAAAGCCAGTTTGTCCCATCATGCCTGTCTGTGTCACTGTGCCAGTCATATTCTGAGAATTTTGTGGGGGTACAAATTGGTTGAGCCAGGGATTCGGTTTCTGTTGTGACATCTGGTTCATACTCACTTTGGATTTTTGTGGGCCAAACAGAGTGTCCAATGATGACATGCCAGAAGAAGGCTTGCTGAGTGAGTTCTGCTGCAGCACACCAGGACTACTTATTGTACTGAAGTTCTGCATACTATTTGGGGTTGGCATAGGAGCCATTTTGTTCATTCCCATGGGGACCGTGCCAGTGAAGAAATTCTGGTTAGGAGTTCCAGACGCCATGTTCCCAAATCCAGAAGGCTGGAACCCGCTGTTTGAGTTAAGACCATTTTGGACATTTCGATTTAAACTCATATTATCAACAGGTGCTGGGTATCCAATATTTCCAGGCATGCTACTGAGAGGAGGAAAGCCACTCACGGTTGGTTTAGCATTGGCGCTTGATAGACTGTTGAGAGAGGTCATGTTCTCCATCAGTGTCTTTGTAAGGTCCTTTGTCTGGAGAAAAATCAAAGAAGCAAATTCAATGCTAAATCTTCAAATAAAAACAATATAGACAAACATACTGTACATAAGCTAGACCTATAAACATGAATACATTTTTGAATCCTGGATATATATGCATTAAAATTATCCAATCTGCATAGATCCATACTATTCATGAATTTTAACCTGTTCACATCAAGCGCACGCAAATGTGAGGCCTTCTGGCGTCTGGGCCTTGACGCCGAGCGGCCGCACATTTGTGTGGAATTAAAAAAAACCCTGCACCCTGCACGCTCCCAGCACATATGTCCGGTACTCACAGAAAGGTCCCGATCTCTTGTGATCAGGACCTTTCCCGATCACGTGACCGCCATGATGGTGCATCACGGTGGTCAGATGACCCTAAAACCCTGCCCCGCCTCCTGGCTTCTGAAACCCTTAAAGGGCCAGGAGGCACCGGCACCAAGGGGTTAAACGACTCTACAATGTGTCCCATAAGCACAACACGTTTCTTTTCTTTGTCCAACTGGGATTTCAGACTAGTCAGTGCTCAGTAAGAATATGGACCTGCTAAACCCAGCTCTAGACTTCCCATTACCAGCCAGTAAGAGTGAACATCCTTCTCTACCTGTTTTACTGGAGCAGCTGCTGTCATTGTGGTGGGTGTCAGAGGGTGCTGGCTCTTCATCTTCTGGACTTGCTCCTGCTCTTTTGCAAGTTTTTGCTTCTCTTCAAGTGTAAGCGATACCTTATGAAATAAAACATGTGTCACTTGAAGTGGCAATTAAATATTAAACCTCTTCCTATGAAGTGAAAATCCAACAGGACAAACATAAAATATTCTGGTTAAGCAATCCCAGGAAAAGAGTAAAAATAACAACTGAGCTTTAATATACACATATCACCATGTGAACAGCTGCCTATGGTATCCCTATTATACTATGAATTTTCACATGCAGAAGACAATATATTTGTCATTTAGAAGTTTTGGTGTGTAGGCATGTTCCATCCAGATCATACTGAACAGAGGAACAGTGGGAAAGTGAAGAAAGAAATCGAGGGGTGGGGGGGGGGATAGGGGAAAAAGTAGTAAGAACTATAAGAAACGAGCAAACGAGAGTTAACTGTGGAAGAAGAGTTCCCAGGTATCCTAGCTAAGCCACTCTTCCCTGTTAACCACTTCAAGTCCGGACACTTTTACCCCTTTCCTGTCCAGGCCAATTTTTAGCTTTCAGTGCTATCACACTTTGAATGACAATTGCGCAGTCATGCAACACTGTACCCATATGAATTTTTTAGCATTTTTTTTGAGACAGGTAAAACTTTATTTTAGTGGGATTTATTCACCACTGGGATTTAAATTTTTTTGCTATATAAAAATGAAAAAGTCTAAACATTTTGGAAAAAAAAAGTGTTATTCTTATAAAATTTTGCAAATAAATAATCTTTCTTCACAAATCTTGGCCAAAATGTATTCATCTATCTTTTTAGTAAAAAAAAAAAAAAATCAAAATAACCCAAATTACTTTATAACCAAAAATATAATTTTTTTAAAAACATATTTTACATTTTAATTTTTTTTTTTTATATTATTTATGTTTTTGTTTTAACATACTGTCACCCTAGTGACACTGAACTGATGGTGGGGGGTGATGAAGATTTTTTTTTTCTTTCTTTTTACACTGATTGCTTTTACACCCATAAAGGCTGTAAAAGCAATAATTTCTCCTTCTCTCTAACTGCATTCTTGCAGCCATTGAGAAATACTGTGAGAGCTGTGATTGGTCACAGCTTGTCACATGGTACAAGGCTGTTGTGAATAGCCTTGTACCATGTGACCTCTATGATCATTCACAGATTTCACTAGTAGTAAGCAATGATGTCAGAAGTGACACAGCGGGCACCGGATCGCGGTGCCGCACGCTCCCAGGGAGAGCGTACAGGCAGTGAATGCGGAGGCCGTTTATAAATGGCCACCCGCTCCTGCACTTCTCCCGTCTGGCCGTTTATATACATGGGCCAGAAGGGATGTGGTTAATATGAGGCTGATGTACAGAAGTTAAGAATCTTAGGACAACAAGCTATGTGAATATAAACTCCAATAAGCTAAGTATTTGAAAAGCAAATTACTATTTACTTATATCTTCTGCACATGACTAGGATATTAAACTGCACAAGAATTTGCTTTTCTCATGAACAGATAATTGAAGTCGATAGTTATATAATTTAGGTCTCGTGTCAACGGGCGTTCTTTTCAAGTGCTGTGTTTGCCATTTGTACGAGAACACATGCATTCTAGTGGCAAATGACAAGCATTTGACAAGAAAAGGCTACATTGGGCCTGCTTTTCCTACAAATCAAAAGCACCAAATTAGGACAAGCTGTGTCCAAAGAAATGCAGCACAAAGCAAGTCAAATACAGCCTCTGCCCTGCCATGTGTACTGCTCAGTTAAAATCTCTATAGGATTTTGATGACCTGCATTTGACATGCGTTAAAAACTCATTTAGTAAATCCGCCCATATAAGTCAGGCTTTCAATATAAAAGCCTGGTTGAGCATATTTAAATTAAGGCCTCAATCTTCAGAAACTTGTTTATTGAGTTATTCAAACATTGAAAATGTTTGAGCTTTCCATTTACTAGTTAATATTAAAATTTTAGCACATTTTATCCACAGACAGGTGAACTGTGATAGTATGCTATTCAAATTACCAGGCTAGTTCTACATAGATGACACATGATTAGTTTGCTTCAGCAAAAGAAAACAGTTTTTGTCCCCTTCCGATTCTTTTTGTAAACTTTCCAATTTTTGATTCTTTACGATTTTTTTGTAAACAGCCATCGGAGTACCTACCTTGCTGGGCTGCTTTGGGACATGGCCATTTTCTTGTCTTTCACTGGCACCAGTAAGGAAATCTTGTCCCATGTCAAATGTTTTTTCAACCTGGGAAAAAAGTATATAGATCAGCACCTTTACAGGAACTTTTTTGATATGTACAACTGTCATTATGTAGTTTCTCTTATACCCAATATGACAGCTCCAATTATTCTTACTGGCTTTGAGGACAAATGTTGAATGAACCCTGATTTTCCAGGACTAAAAATAAACTCTAAAGTTAATTATATGATACGCTGGGGAAAAGGAATTAAACAAAACCATCCCAGAGAAAGACTGGAAGGACATCTGGTCTTCCACTGCCAAGAGCTCTTATTATTCTAGCTTTAGAGAACTCTTATAAAGTTCATTTGTGTTGGTACTTAACTCCTTGCTTGAACTTCGAAATATTTACTATAACATTCACCTTTTTGCTTTCGTGGCTGAGAACAAGAAGGAACTACATGTATATGCAATTGTTTACATTATGTATTCTGTATTTGCAAAACTTTAATAAAAAAATACTCTGAGCAAGAAAAACATACAGATCAACCATTTGAAAAGTATCCATACAATATCTGTTCTGAAAAAGGAAGGGGATGGAGCTTATTTTTTTATTTGACTCTATAAAAAATGCTTAAATGCTTGAAGAATTTTACACAATTCTTGCCACATAACTCACTTTTAATGCATGCATGAGGATTTTTTTTATTGTAATCTTAATAGTTCTCTTACATCCCGGTCACATCCCATGCGACTTGCAAATCGTATGCCAAGTTGCACCCTATTGTCCACAACTACAGCGGTCAAATCGATGCGGTTCCGACTTGGTTGGAGCCGCACCAATTTCTAAGGTAGTACATGTACTACTTTTGGTGCGATTTGCATAGACATCTGTGTCAGCTGTCTTGTAAATCGCACCTGAAATCAGCATCTCACCCGACTTTGAAAACATGCGACTTCACTGTAAGTCACACAATTTCAAAGTCGGGCTTGATGTGACCGGGGAGTTAAATTCCAGTAAAAGCTAGCCAAGCTTAAACCTACTCCCACCCCCATTCTAATCCCTATGCTAACTACCCTGCTGCAAAGGAATGATGTGTATACCCAACTAATCTAAGGGTGCTCCGGTATGTCACTGCCCAGGCTCTGCAGCCATTGTCGGCGATCTCTCCTCTCCCCTCCCCTGAAGCCAGTTACTTACCTACATATTTCCTTAGGAATCAACCTGAGGACAGCCTGGAGGCTGAGTGTATTGGTGCAAAGGTAAAGGGCACCTGAACATGTGAGTAAATTTCTTGCTTTTATTTATGACAATTTAAAATCTGTAATAAATACTACACTATGAGAAATTATTTTCTCTGGCATATATACATTTTTTATTGAGGGGGAGCTGTATGGCATTTTGGAGGAAAAGATCTTTATAGAAGAAAGAAGCTGAATTAAGATTCTGGGACACCAAGTGTATATGACCTTCCTTTTAACCACTTGCCCTCCTGAGGATTTACCCCCCTTCCTGACCAGGTCATTTTTTGCGCTAAGGCGCTGCGTTACTTTGACAATTGCATGGTCATGCAACACTGCACTGCACTGAAATGAAATTTACATCCTTTTTTCCCACAAATTGAGCTTTCTTTTGGTGGTATTTGATTACCTGTGCATTTTTACATTTTTGCGCTATTAAAAAAAAAAAAAAAAAGACAATTTTGAGAAAAAAAAAAACAATATTTATTACTTTTTGCTATTAAACATGTCCAATAAAACAATTTAAAAAATAAAATTTCGTCATAAATTTAGGCCAAAATGTATTCTGCTACATGTCTTTGCTAAAAAAAAAAAAAAAAAAGTATATTAATTGGTTTCTTTTTTTTTTTTTTACTAGTAATGGCGGCGATCAGCGACTTATAGCAGGACTGCGGTGGACATGCTGACAATGGGGGGAACTGACTGTCACTGACATCTCTAGTGACACCAATACAGTGATCAGTGCTAAGGTGCTAAGGGATCAAAGGGTTAACTACGTGCTGGGAGTGTTTTACTAGGGGGGTGTGTCAGTGTGCTTCACTGTAATCAAACTGCTTTGGATGGCTGCCATCCAAAGCAGTGTGCCCTGTTGGAGATCCTCGGAAATCACCAGCCGCCGGCGAGTAATTACTGGCCGGGACCCGGTGATTGACAGTTGCGGCCGCCAATGGTGGCGTGGGTAGGGCGCATGCTCCCTACCTGGAAATGCAAAATCACGTATATATACACACGTGATTTTGCGCACCCATGTCACCCTGTAGCAGTATTTCTGCTATAGGGCAGTCGGGAAGCGGTTAATTAAGGGGTCATGGATCTGTGTTAAGTGAGTGAATTGGAGTGGCACAAGTGGTGACGCACTAATTTAGCTAGGAAAAAGAGCATCTTTTACACATTGTTTAGTGTGGGTCTTTCACACTTATCAATATACACTTATGTGTTTTAGGATGTTATTTATGATGTTACTGTTTACATATAGTGTGTAAGCACTGCACTTTTATTTTCAAAAAGTGTGTATGCACTTTAAAGGGGTAGCTAAACATTTTTCATATTTATATGCCAGATTCTTCATGTTTTATATGTCCCTATTGGTTTATTGTTTTGACTTTGTATGAAGTTGGCGCCCATCATAAATATTATAACCAAGCTTAAACCTACTCCCATCCCCATTCTAATACCTATGCTAACTACCCTTTAAAGGAACAATGTGTATACATAACTAATCTAAGGACACTCCGGTCTGTCAATGCCCAGGCTCTGCAACCAATGATCTCTCCTCTCCCCTCCCCTGAAGCCAGCTGCTTACCTACATATTTACTTTCTTTTACTAAAAATATCTTCAAATATAACATATAGCTCAACTATATAAAACAATATGAATAAAAATCTCACAAAAATATGTTCTTTTTTTATTAATATGGTAGCAACTGCCAAAAATGAACAGCTAGGGTGAGGGGGGCTCGGCTGTGCATACAGTGCCTTGAAAAAGTATTCACACCCCTTGAAATTTTCCACATTTTGTCATGTTACAACCAAAAGCATAAATGTATTTTATTGGGATTTTATGTGATAGACCAACACAAAGTGGCAAATACTTGTGAAGTCGAATGAAAATGATAAATGGTTTTCAAATTTTTTTACAAATAAATATCTGAAAAGTGTGGCGTGCATTTGTATTCGGCCCCCTTTACGCTGATATCTTAAGTAAAATATTGGAACCAATTGCCTTCAGAAGTCACCTAATTAGTAAATAGAGTCCACCTGTGTGTAATTTAATCTCAGTATAAATACAGCTGTTCTGTGAAGCCTTCAGAAGTTTGTTAGAGAACATTAGTGAACAAACTGCATCATGAAGGCCAAGGAACACAACACAGGTGAGGTATAAAGTTGTGGAGATGTTTAAAGAAGGGTTAGGTTATAAAAAAATATCCCAAGCTTTCAACATCTCACAGAGCACTGTTCAACCCATCATCCGACAATGGAAAGAGTATGGCACAACTGCAAACCTACGAAGACATGGCTGTCCATCTAAACTGACAGGCCGGGCAAGGAGAGCATTAATCAGAGAAACAGCCAAGAGGCCCATGGTAACTCTGGAGGAGCTGCAGAGATCCACAGCTCAGGTGGGAGAATCTGTCCACAGGACAACTCTATGTCTGGAGGAAAAGAAATGTAATCTCCAAACACGGAAAGGTTTCTTCACAGTAAGAGCTGTGAAAATGTGGAATAGACTCCCTCAAGAGTTGGTTCTGACCAGCTCAGTGGATTGCTTTAAAAAAGGCCTGGATTCTTTCTTAGATACACATAATATAACTGTATACTAACATTTATAGGTAAAGTTTATCCAAGGAATATTTGATTGCCTCTCGGGGGATCAGGAAGGACTTTTTTTTCCCAGCAGGAGCAAATCGGGTAATGCTCTGCTGGGTTTTTTTTTGCCTTCCTCTGGGTCAACTGTGGGTATAGGATTATAGCCTTTTTATTTATTTATTTATTTTAATGGTTGAACTGGATGGACTTTTGTCTTTTTTCAGCCAGACTAACTATGTAACTATTAGTCATGCACGCCACAAATCTGGCCTTTATGAAAGAGTGACAAAAGGAAAGCCACTGCTGAAAGAAAGCCATAAGAAGTCCCATTTACAGTTTGCAAGAAGCCATGTGGGGGACACAGCAAACATGTGCAAGAAGGTGCTCTGGTCAGATGAGACGAAAATTTAACTTTTTGACCTAAAAGCAAAAAACGCTATGTGTGGCGGAAAACTAACATTGCACATCACCCTGAATACATCATCCCCACCGTGAAACATGGTGGTGGCAGCATCATGTTGTGGGGATGCTTTTTGTCAGCAGGGACAGGGAAACTGGTCAGAGTTGATGTGAAGATGGATGGAGACAAATACAAGGCAATCTTAAAAGAAAAACTGCCTGCAAAAGACTTGAGACTGGGGCGGAAGTTCACCTTCCAATAGGACAACGACTTTGAACATACAGCCAGAGCTACAATGGAATGGTTTTTCATCAAAACATATTCATGTGTTAGAATGGCCCAGACAAAGTGCAGACCTACAGTTAGGTCCATATATATCTGGACACAGGCACAATTTAAGTTTTTTTTTCAGATATTGACCAAAACATATTCAAGCTATAGTTATATAATAGGATATGGGTGGAAAGTGCACACTCTCAGGTTTAATTTGAGGGTATGTACATCCAAATTGGAGAAAGGGTTTAGGAATTACAGCTCTTAAAAGTAGCCATCCCCCTTTTTCAAGGGACCAAAAGTAATTGGACAATTGTATCAAAAGCTGTTTCATGGCCAGGTGTGGGCCACTCTATTATTTCTTCATCAATTAAGC